GGGACTATTGAACATGGTGGCGAACTAGAGGCAAAGGAAGTGTCTCGTGGGAGCATGGATTCCCTCAGATGCACCTTCCTCTGAAGTCGCCAGAGAAAGAAGGAAGAAGAGGCACACCGGCTCCGAGAGGTTGGAGGAAGCGGTGCGTGAAGCATGAGAGCGGAAAAAAAAACCTTGAAGCGAGAATGCAGGAGGAAATCAGAAGGCAAGTGCAAATAGCAGTGAGTGCAAGCAAGCAGGCATCAGAGCCAGGAATCAACATTAGCCAATCTGTTCAGTTGAAAAGCAGTTGCGCTTCCACGGAGATACCAAATCAAGGGACACAGGATCTGCGCTTCCACGTGGATGACGTCATCGAACCTTGTACAACGTGTGAGCTACACATTCGAAGGAGAATTCCACAATCAAGGTGGCTATCGGTCTTGTTAATCCTATCGACCGAACCAAGACACCAAGGATTCATGGGAATATAATCCAAGAAGGATATGCCACCATCTCGGTAGATAAAAGTGAAAAAAGGTTTTAGTGATTTGCCTCTTGACATTCACGGAGGTGATGGCGAGAAGACTCTAGGAGAAGCGGAGAAGACATTCATTCTATGGCGCAAGCGCTACATCATCATTCGAGGATGTCGGCTCCACCTCCTCCCTGAACTACCTCACCATAGGTATGTGCGGATGAAAACACTACATCATTAATTTGTATTGGCTTAAATAATTAACAATCTGCTCATAATAATATGTCATTCCTTTTTTGTAGCAGATCCTCCCCAATCTAAATCCAATTGTTCAATCGCCAGATCATCATAGTGCTCTGACGATGACATTGTGTTGGAAGACGAGGCTGCATCCACACCTCTCCAAGGAGGTCTCCACGCGCCGCAGCCGCCACCTCCAAGGAGGTCTCCAACGCCACGCCAACACCTCCAAGGAGGTCTCCAACGCCACGCCAACACCTCCAAGGAGGTCTCCAACGCCCCGCCCCGCCTACCAAGAAGCCTAGCAAGAGGTCAGCCCTCAAAGCGAAGAACCAGGTCCCGCACCGCAAAGAAAGCCACCGTGAAACCAAGGGTTATTCCCAAAATAATATCTCAAGAGAAGGAAGAAGGAACTGATGCATATAAAAAAGACATGTCTAGATTCTATGACAAACTTAAAATGAATCAAGAAGCAAGGAGAAACCAGAGAAACCGTGCTTCTTCAGAGCTCAGGATATTTTAAGAAAAAGGTGATTTCTTACCGGCATCATCATGCAATGGGAATCTCGTAAGCCGTCCAAATCAACGTTATCAGACTATGACCGCACTCTCACCAAGTCAATTGAGGCGGCATGAAAAAAGAAGCGGGCAGGGAAAGGAGTTGCCCAACTCGGACAACAAGCGCACCAATCAATCCCCGCTAGTTGTTGGTAATGAATATGGTTCAATTTAGGATTAATGCATCGAGCAAACATACCTCCGGATGTCGATTTGGATCACCTTGGTGAATTTCTTGATGAGACTGGTCTCGACCTTTACCAGATGTTTGGTGATGGAAACATTGAGAGTGCGGCGGAGGTTGATATTTGGAAGAAAAAAATTTGTACTAGGCGAGTCTATACAACCCTCAAGCCTTATCTCGATCTCGGGGACGCATAAATGTACCGCTAAACAAGTGGTACATGCAAAGCGTCTACCGATGGAGACTTCTGCGTTGGTGTCGAGAATTAGAGACGAACATTGGTTCCGTGGCGATGATGTTATGTATGTTGACTTTGCGTAATTTCATCAACTATGCCACCGACCTCTCCGGACAAAGTTATCATTAGTTGCTATTGCACGTAAGTAATAATTCTTTCGATCTATTATTAAACTCATCATATGTGTGTATATGCATATAAATTATCCTAACAAGTACTATATATATGCAGATTTACAATGACAGAGCTCGTAAAGGAAGGTTTGCAATGAAATTGGTTTTGTTGATCCCCATATAGTATTCAAAGACCCAATTACTCCAATGACTAATTGGAAGTCTCGAGTCGAGAGTAACCTCATGAACTTCTTAGTGAACCAACGCCACAAGAAGGATATACTCTTTCCCTATAACTTCAAGTGAGTGTTAATCATGTCGATCATAGCCTTAATGGCTCATATGTTGATTCTAGTTAATTAATGAGTGTTATCGTTATATCCTATAAACACATGCAACAATCTTTGGATATTGATGGACATCGATCCGGTGAAAAGTCACTTGATAATCTATGACTCGATGAGAAAACCACAACAAGACTACCAAGATATGATAGATATTATCCAGAGGTAATTTCGAGATCTCTAGCAACTATATATACACACAAACATGATGATTAACTATATCGATGACGTGGCAAATTTTTTATTGGGCGGTGTTTGGAAAACCTTTATTGAGAAGCAACACATGGAAAAATGCAAAGCGCCTTTGAATGTAATCCCTTTGAAAGTAAGTCCACAGAATCGCATCATCTTTATTAATTCAACATATAGCTTTCACCGGATCACCAGATTGGATGACAAATCTTTTTCTCGTAAAAAGTGGTGTCTAAGGCGAGAACAGGGAACAACTACATCATGGTTACTATGTTTGCAAGTTTATCAAGGTGCTCTCCCAAAGAACTCCTCTGAGAGAGACTCAAAGTACGTTAAAATACACTATATATTCATTTAATTATTATTATTGATTGTGTTACTATGTCTTTATATATATATATATGTACATATATTAATTTATTTTCCTTTAATTCAAACCTGTAGACTCGATGGTTGGAGGAAAAGGTCATACGGCAAGACCAAATCAAAGCAATTCAAGAGTCTATAGCGGATTTTTTAATGAGCAGGTCATCGATTCCAAGGGCGAGTTCTACTTGACCCAACAACGCCATTGAAGCCAAGCTAGAGGATGAGAAGAAACTTGTTATGTCACAACAACTATAATGCAATCTTTTGTAATATATGCACATGAAATAATATAATGTAAAATACACATATGCATGCATGCATGTAAATATATATATGATGCATGCATGCATATATATATATATATATATATATATATATATATATATTTCTATGATTGAATTGTGTGATTTAATACGTTCATTGTGCTTGACCGAAACATACTATATATGGCGTATAAATGTATAATTAGCAGCGTACAATACGACTTCGAAAACCTATTTTGAAAAGAAAACAAAAAAATGAAAAGAAAAAAAAAAGAAAAAAACCTTTAGTCCCGTTTCGTATTACTAACCGGGACTAAAAATCTTAAACCATCGTGGCATGTCAGGAGGCACCTTTAGTCCCGGTTGGTGTTACCCACCGGGACTAAAGGTCCTCCTTTAGTCCCGGTTCCTGACCCGGGACTAAAGGACCCCCCCTTTAGTCCCGGATGCTTGCTCCCGGGTGGGGAACCGGGACTAGAGGGGGTTCCCCACCGGGAGTAAAGCTCGGTTCTGTACTAGTGAATGTTAGGACTGTTATCTTGAGTAAGGTTGTACTTGGATACCATTCGCCTTGCCTTTGAGCCTTAGGTCAACACTAGCTTTGCAATGGTCACATGCGTCCACTGACCCATCACCCCAAGTATTGAGGCCCACACCGGCAACCATCCACGTCCAATTTTGAGGACCAATTTGACTAACACCCTTGCACACCTCATAGGGCATGACTCACTGATGTTTGCAAATTTAACCATCTCAAAGGCCCCGATGCCCTAATATTTTGCATTCACTTTCTCGTGACACCTATGCAAACTTTCCATATTTGCCTTCCTTGACTTGGCGACACCATCTTAACTGAAAGGATAAGCTTGAGTGTGTGTATGTTAAAGCTATTGGAGCTCCTTTAGTTGTTGAGTTTGGCGTAGGGCGGCAGCGGCCGCCACCCATGGCGCTGAGTCGATGTTATGTCGAAGCTCATAGCAACGATAGCACTCGATGAGCTCCATCACTTGTTACTAGTTATAGGTAGTATGGTTTTTGGGCCCGGTTTCTCTCGTAAACTGGGCCAATTCTCTTATTAATATTTGCTGGAACAACATGTTCCTGGATCTTTTAAAAAAAAGATGTTTGCCAACGTGGCGGATAATATTTATTTTCTTGAGTACAAGAGAATAAATGAAAATAGACGTTGCTCATCTAGACATTGCTTATATATAGGTACACATAGCAAAAACAATGTATCTAAAAAAACAAAACGACTTACAATTTGGAATGAAGGAAGTAAGTGCTAACTAGTTGCTCACATGCTCATCTTGAATTAAACAATACTTATATGTTCACATGGTTTTTTCACAATTAGTTGACTCAACAATCAAGATTTTACACGCACAACCAAATATCTTTTGAGTCCCAATGTCATTCCAAACCCGCATTCTTTATCTTGTTACCTTGAATGCATGGACTGACCCTGTATGCAGTCCTGCCTTGTTGACTTGTTATTTTGTTGTGCCACATGTATCTGCTGTTGTATTTGAAACCAATACTTAGCTAAGGCCTGAGTGTATTCGCATGCATGTTGCTTGCTTTTTTTTTCCAGATGTGTATTGTTGTACTATGATATCTCTATTTGTTTTTTTTTATCTAAACCATTATAAGGGTAATAGGGAAACTGGCAAACAGCTATAAAAGGTATATTAGATTAATTTTTTTTTTTTGCAGTGGATAATTTATTAGCATGTGTAAAGGGTACTCTAGGCTACTTTTAACCTAATGGCAGCGGTGGATAATTTATTAATATGTATATGGGCACATTGATTTTATTTTCTCCAATTAATGAGGTAATTTCTAAGCCTTGAGAATTGACGTGGAGGCTCCTCTTGTTAGCCAAATACAAAGATAACTACGGTTAAAAAAAGATAATAGATTTATGCTATTTTCCAATATAATTGATGCACACTTTATATGTCCCAACTTGAAATATGTGAACCTAATATAATTGATTTTTTGACCTATAGGTACCAAGTCCATTTTTTTCTGTTGATAATATGGAGAATGAAGTGGTCTTGCAGCAACTTATTAGAAAGTGTGGTGGACTTCCAAAAGTAATAGTTGCTTTAGCTGAGATTTTGAGCCCAGTCTATAATTGGGGAGAAAAGGCCAGTATGTTGAATGACAATTTCGTGCTCAACCTGGAGACCATGCCAGAGTCTGATTGTTTACATGGTCTATTTAGCTGGATGCAATCCTACTTCGATGCTTTGCCAATGCACTTCAGGAAGCTTGTTGCATACCTATTAATTTTCCCTGGACACAGCAGCACTCGGCGGCGGCGTTTGGTGATGCGGTGGGGCGCAGAGGGGTACTCCACCGATAGTGAAAGCTATACAGCGGATGAGAATGGAGAGGAACATTTTTCCGGGCTGGTTAACCAGGCAATGATTCAGCCACCACCACTTACAACAATCACAAATATGAGAATGGTCTCGTTTAAAGTCAATGCTATCTTCCGTGAGTACATGATCTCACGACCTCTGAAAGAAAATATTGCAACCGCAATTGAGCTCTTTGTGCTCAAAGGAACTTGCAGTCCAACAAGTAGGCGCAGAGGACGGCACCTTGTCATAGAACAAAGCTGGACAAGAGATAGGATAGTGTTTGGGAAAATTGACTTTTCGAGGCTAAGGTCTCTAACAGTGTTTGGGCAATGGGAATCGTTCTTCATCTCTGAAGGAATGAAGGTTCTTCGGGTGCTTGATCTTGAGGATGCATCAGGTGTGACAAATAAAGACCTCCAGAACATCTTAAAGTTGCTGCCCCGTCTAAAGTTCCTTTCTCTGAGGGGATGCAGTGAGATAAGCTATCTGCCAAGTTCAGTGGGTCAACTAGGACAACTCCAAATGCTTGATATCAGATACACCAGCATAGTCACCACTCCAGCGTCCATCACTAAGCTAAAGAAGCTGCAATACATCCGGGCGGGCCCTGTGTTTTCACCTGAGGATCCATCAGCGCATCGTTCTGTAGCATTGAAGTTCTCAGACCTCCGCAGATGCCATCAACTAGTTGGTGTCAAGGTGATGACTGGGATCGGAAAACTGACCGCTTTGCATACACTTGGAGTGATCAATGTTGGTTCAGCAGGGGGCAAAGGCATCCTGAAAGAGCTCAAGAATCTCACCCAACTGCACAAACTTGGAGTGTCTGGGGTAAGCAGGAAAAATGGCAAGGTGTTCTGTTCTGCCGTCTCATGTCAGTCCCACCTAGAGTCCTTGGCAGTGTGGCTCAGGAACGACAGTCAAAATTGTTTAGATTACATGGTCGTCCCTGTGTTTGCAAATGAACTTCAGAGCCTAAAGCTGTACGGTCATGTAGAAAAATTGCCCAGGTGGATCAAGGAGCTTTACAACCTCAAAAAGTTAAATCTGGAGTTGGACACATTGTCGGACAATGACATGAAAGTCCTTGGGGATCTACAACAACTATGTGTTCTACGTTTTCGTGTCAAGCCACCTCATGATGGTAATATCAACTTTAATGTGGTGGTAGAGGGTGAAGAGGATCACAGTTATAAAAACATTAAGATCCTCGAGATTGCTAGCGCATCCAACTTGCATTTAACTTTTGGATCACGAACCATGAAAAACCTTGAGTTGCTCACGGCTGGCTGCTGTAATAATGGATCGCAGCTGCAGTTTGATGGGTTAAATCATCTCTCGAAACTTAAGGATGTGCGAGTTATTGGTTCTAAAAATGAGAACCTAAGGAAAAAATTGGAGGACCAATTTGCTGGCCATGGAAGCAAACCCGCTTTGAAGCTGGAGGAAGTTGTTCCGTCGACTGAGGCCTCCACTGGACGAAACAATGAACACTATATGCCATTTCCCTTTCATTGTAGCACTCGATGAAGTGAGGATGCAGTCATCAGGGCAGTGAATACTGAAACATATGCTTTCTGTATTATTGCAGTAAGCAGAATTCAAGAACTTGGCTGCGGTGAAATATGCTACTTAAATTTTATACTACAGTTTGTAAGAAAAGGATCTTGTGAAAGTGTTGATTTTTTCTTCGGCTGTATCAATCATTTTCTACTCATGTTGTTTTAGAATTTCTCAGTCAGTTTTTTTGAGTTTGGCTATTAATGTACAGAGAACTGGATAGATTGAAAGTAAAAGTTTTATGTTATCCCAAAAGGTATTTTCCTTCTTTTTGTTGTAATGAAAGGTACTTTCCTTACCTATAATGTTTTTAGATATTGTATTTTCATAGATGCTGCTAGTCAAAGTTCAGCGTGTTGATGTCCTAAATGACCTAGATTTGTGGTTGTTTTTTTTATCAATGAGAAAATTAATAAAACTAAACACACCTGGTGCCTATCCAAACCATAACTCGTTTATGAGCGATGCCTTTGTGCATTAGCCTAATGAATTCATTATTAATTGAATAGGTATTTTTGTTCACAGAAAATTCGAGAATTTTGTGTTCTCAAACCATCTCTCATATTCTTTTTTTTTTTGAGGAAACCATCTCTCACATTCTGCTTCCACACAGTGGTTGCTTACTTCAAGTTTTCAGGCAACTAGAATGTACAAGCCGTGTTTTTCTTTAATAAACAGAGGGATCAACAAGTTGAAACTGGCATCACAAAAAAATATGTCAGTCTTCATTTTGATTACGAGGAAGGTTGTGTGATCCAGTACTTAGCAAGTGAAAAATGTCTGAGCTCAGTACACATCAGTTATGGAAATCTTCAATGTGGCGTTCAGATACGTTGTGAAACCCCACTAATGGGCTAGTGGGCTGGGCCGAATGACCGAATACTGTAGCAACGGAGTGACGCGGGGTGCTGTAGCGTCGTAGAACACTGTAGCACAGTACCGCCTCAGAAACTGAGGCTGAGCCAAACCAACTTAAAAAGCCTGAGCCTGGAAAGTTAAAAAACTTCGGTTCGAATTTTTTGCGCGAAGCGAGGACGAAAGCGCAAGAGAGTTAATGAGTAGGCGTGGTCCATTCAACCTGTAGAGTGGATCTTAACCGTTTTCCCGGGCTGGGGTGTTACAAATGGTATTCAGAGCCAACTCTCGCAGTTTCACGAATATATGGCTCGGGAGCTTGGACAGGCTGCACAGGGCCAAATCCTAGACACGTTTGGGTAGGTTGGTTCAGTTGTCGACGAGGACGTCGAGTTCTTAAGGGTAGGTGTATGTGAAACCCCACTAATGGGCCAGTGGGCTGGGCCGAATGATCAAATACTGTAGCAACAGAGTGATGTGGGGTGTTGTAGCGTCGTAGAACACTATAGCACAGAAGTAGTACCACCTCGGAAACTGAAGCTGAGCCAAACCAACTTAAAAGGCCTGAGCCTGGGAAGCTAAAGAACTTCGGTTCAAACCTTTTACGTGAAGCGAGGACGAAAACGCAAGAGAGTTAATTAGCAGGCGTGGTTCATTCAACGTGTAGAGTGGATCTTAGCCGTTTTCCCGGGCTGGGGTGTTACATACGTGTACATAGCAATGCAAGGTTCATGGTTCATACTACGAACCCTGCGTCAGTGCGTCACCAAAGCGCGTGACGATCTCGCGTATTGTCATTGTTTTTTTGAATCCTCTATCCGGGTACACATGTAGTATCTTGTTCATGCACAAACATACGCTCACGCTACCCAGACACACCACACTTACACCATGCGTGCACAACTAGACCTACAACTACACATAGATCAGAAGATTGCGTCCTTCTTAAGATCACCGAAACATCAAGGCTCCGTAGGCAACGAGCGTGTTGCAATTCACCGCGTCCTTCTTAGATCACCAGAACCATCAAGGCTCCGTAGGCAACGAGCGTGTTGCAATTTCTTTGTCACTTCATGCGACAGAGGCTGTAGACAAAGACATCTCCGAGGTGAGGCCCCTGGGTCGATTCCCCGGCCGTTCCAACCACAAGGAATGAGCCAACTGTCGCAGAACCGATCAATTTATAAGAATACAAGTACAATGGCAATCCGCAAGCGGTTGCACTGTCATACTTGAACCCATATAAACCCGGTAGTCCGTCGAGTACCACGACGGGTCTCGATAAACGATTTACAACAACCAAGATCGTACAGGATTCAACATACATGCCACATATTACATAAAGTTCACAGATACTTTTCATCATCGTAGTACGAATAAAAGTTATTACAAACCGAAGTTTGATAAATAAAGCGGAAGCAAATAAGTTCAAGATAAAGTTTCCAACATAGTTTGATACGATTGCCAAGCTAGATCACGGTCCACAAAAGCAAGGATAGGAATTACTAAAGAAGTCGCCCAAGGCTTACTCCTCATCCACAATGGGATAGAAGCAACTCTTGCAATAACCATGATACACAAAGTGCCATACGCAACATTGGGAAAATAAACCACGAGTACGAGAAGGTACTCACTAGACTTACCCGTCATGAACCGAAAATAAAATGACTCCAAGGATTATGCAAGGTCATTTGTATAAGTGGACGTAACTTGACAACATTTTTTGCGTAAAAGCAATTAAATCATGGTACAGCTTACTAATTCTTTACCAAGTTAATTATAACTATTCATTTCTAGGTTAGCAACTATCCTTGTGCCAAACATGTGGTACATCCATTAGAAGCATACAATAGTAACCATAGCGGTATTGAAATTCCATTTTCGTCCGAACCATCATGTTACATAACACAATTACTACGATGTTGGGACTAGCCAAGTTTCTCACTATCCGGGAGAGACGGCGATTCGAATCGATTTCAACCGGTGGGAATTTATTCCTATCACAAACCCAGTCTACCAAACCCACGATAGCCTTAGGTCACCTTTGGTACAACTCCCGTACACATTTCGCGGTCCCGATCTTGCGCCGCTAACTGAACACACGGATGCCGGGATGCTCGAGCCAAGCACGCCTTGGGCTCGGTCGATCGTTCCCGGAAGGAGCGCTGTGAACGCGATTCCCCGCTTCGAGTTGAATTACTCGGCTTGGCGGTCGGAACGAATTATCCGACCGGCTAATGGAGAGGCATGCGTTCAATCTTGTCGAAGCACCAACAACAGTACGGTCCTTAATCGACATAGACGGGATAAATCCACACCCAAGACCTCCATGTCTTGTTGCTTCTCTATCTACTTCCCGCTCGGGTCTCGATTTACTTTTACCACATGGTTGGGTTCCACGATAGCAGATATAGCCAACCGTGCTCTAAGATCCACCTATATCTCGCGGTGACAGGACATCACCCGACTTCTACCGGTCTAAGCATGGCTAAGCATATATATTCGATCCACGGACCTATACCGGTTCTGGTGTAATATTTGGACAAGGAATGTACATGCATCAAGTGGTTTCATTCAACTCTTATAACATAATGCATCAATCATAAATACGTAAGTAAACATTTGTAAATTACTGGGAGACTTATAATGCTCCGGGGCTTGCCTCGCAGAAAGGAAGTAGGGCGATGGTCGGGGCACAGGAAGCTCTTCAGTGGTTCTCGCTCCACGCCGGGAGCTGCGCTTGCGGATCCTCCTGCGGGTTCCCTTCCTCCGCTTCTTGAATTCCAAAGCAACGTGATCTCTTCCTCCGATCCTAGATGCATGAGTATGGTATAAGTATTACGAATGCATATATGTTAACAAGTGCATCACGTTGTTTGGGTAGGTGCATATCTCTTCTCGATTATTACTTAACTACTTCTATAATGCATCGACTATGCCACAAGCAAGAGCTACTTGTTTCACTCATAACCGGAGTTCTACAAATCCAAAAATAGTGATCTAGGACTTTCTGGAAAGCTTATCAAATTCTCTACAGCTTTGTTATTAACCATTTTTTACAGTATACATCAGTTTCAACATGCAACTCATCACACTCTAGAATTTATCCGTAAACTATTCCAATTCGCATTATAAAGTAACGATACCTCCACTTCATATAAGTATTCAAAGTCTTATCATACAAAGCCTACCAACAGTTTAAGCATACCAAATACATTTAAGAAAATATAATGGTGAAGCCCAAACTAATTATTTAAATTGCCTTTATTATTTTATTTAGATATCTAGGTTAAATAATAAATATATATCAGATGTGCTTCATAATTTCTCAAAAATTTACAGAGCCTTACTAATGCTATCAAAGGACTGCTATAAAATTTCAGGTCATTTTACTAAGTAGAACATTCTATACAAAATGATAAGGCAGCAAGGCTTGAAATAGCATAAATGGAAAATCCTATTGAAAAGTGTCAAGCAACAGATTTCATATTTTTCTTAGCATCCATATGGTACTAGGATTACCTCCAACAAATTTCATGAATTTTGGACTCATACTTAATTTATGAAAATTCATGCAAGGATTAACTAGTCATAAAAGAAAAATCTATAACTTTAAATCTATCCATGCACTGGTCCTCAAATTTTTACCAGGGCTCACGTATGCTAAGATTAGTTCACCACAAAAATTTCATAATTTTTGGAGCACAGGAACTCTAGATATAAAATAAACAAATTTGAATATATTCAAAAGCACATTTCAAATCCCTATTTAAATCTCCAGAAATTTGTACTGTTGAAACCAAGAATATATTTTTCTTAAATACTACACTTCCTAAGGAACACAACCATATTTATTTCACAATTTTAGGAGCTCCCAAACTGATGATACAAAATTCGCAAAACAAATCAAAAACTGGAACATTTGAACTAGCCTACAACACAGCTGTCGCTGACCGGTGGGACCCGCTGGTCAGGGGACCCCACGCGTCAGTGACACGGAGCAGAGCAGCGGCGCTGCTGGGCACTGCGCGGCTGCGGCTCGTCGACGGCGAGCTTTGCCGGCGGTAACGTCTTCACTACACGACCTACGTGACCTAGCGAAGCGATTGAGCCAC